GATGAAGACCTTGAGGCCCGCGATGTCGAGTCTGAGCTCGAGGACATTGTAGCTCGCGCCCCTGAACCCAAGAAGGGAAAGGGAAAGGGCAAGGGAAAGGGCAAGGGAAAGGGCAAGGGTAAGGGTAAAGCCGCCGCCGGGGCTGCTGCTCCTGCCGCTGCTGCTCCTGCTGCTGCTGCCGCCGCCGCCGCCGCTTAGAGTTCCCCTTTTTTTCCTCAATCCTGGACAACTTCCACCCCTTGGAGACCGGATTTCCCCTGTTCACCTCCCTTTTTTTGTGTATACAAAAAATCAGCGGGCACATATTACTTGCGGACTTGACTCAAGCCTGGGGCTTCCTTTTTTTTTAAACTCCAATCGAGGTCGATAGATCTCAGTTCCATTGATTGGACAGTGTGTTTTTGACTTGTGGGTTTTATCTTTTGGAAGTTTTTTTTACGGGATAGTTTTATCCTTTTTTTTGCGAAGTTTGGAATGCGGATGGAGCGAGTTTAATATTTTATAGAAGAGAAATCGAGCTGTTGATCGATAACTTTTACTTTGCCTTGGAATTTGGTGACGTCCGTGATTGTGTGAATGCTTGCTTTTAGTGATCGGAGTGGCTTTGAAAGAAAAATTGTAAGAGGTTAAAGGAGAAGATACATGGATTGGGGGGTTTTGTTTTTGCGAAAGAGTCAGACAACGGGTGTTTGCTATAGTGGTCATTAGTTAGCTGTATTACTCCAAAGACACCTCCTGCAATCACCTCCTCATTCACAAATACTTCAAGCTTCTCTAAAATAACCTTCATTAATCGCTAAATCAACTTTTCATAAATCCATATCTGGCATCTGCATATCATCACCCGGCTCCATCAGGTTCATAAGATAGATAGACCCAGAAAACCAATCCTGCATCGAGTTGTGAGTCCCACCCGATGGCCCAAACCCTAGACTCATTTGTCCTGGATTGAAGTTATTTCCCATTTGCTGATCCGGCGGGAAAGTTTGCATGCCACCGGGACCAGCAGGATTCATGTTGTATTGATCTGCCGACCATGCTGTGTCAGGAAGTAGACCAAGTGCATTTAGATATGGATCAAACTGCGACATGGCATTGAGGTCAAGTTGTGCGCCGTTTGCTGTGTAGTAATTCTGATGGTTTTGCGCGGCGGTGCGCGATCTCAAAGCAGCGTCCTGGGTCTTGGCCGTTACGTAGAGTCTTGCCACTCGCAAGAAGAGATGACACATTCTATAGAGCTTGTCTGCGCCTTCAGAGATTGTACGACAAGATTCGAGGCTCGTGACAAACTCTGAGAGAGATTGTAGGTCGGCGCTAACATCGGATGTATCCGCCTTTTGAATGGCGTTACAGAAAATGACAATGAACCTATACTGATTAGCTGAGACAATAAAGCGGTCATAAAAGCAGCATACGGTGTAAACGGCGCCTGGAGGATGGACCAGTGCACGTATCCCGACCACAGTTCCTCCTGGCCCTTCTTGTTGAATTGTTTGGAGGCCCTTTTGTGAGCGTCGAGAGCTGATCGGGATGACTGCAAGCAATCTTGATTGAAGGTCATGTTTCCCGGACTGACTGAGCGCTGTATGAGCGCACACGTCGAGTAATGTGAAACTACGTCAGAGTAGAACAAAATGTCCTCAACACGATCAAGTGCACCTTCCATGGTTAGTCTAACTAACTGTACCTGAATATTCCTCGTCACATACCTTGGATGTACTCGTTGACATCAGACTCCTTATTGAGCGGTTGAGATATGTACCGCTTCAACTGGGATGGGAGTGGAGTCTTGTTTGGGCTGTGACCCACTCCGGTCGGTCGTTGCGCAACATTGTTCATATTTTTTCCAAAGTTTGCTCGATTAACGGCTTTGACGTCGTCACGCTCGACCCACGCTTGGTTCATGGCATTGATCAGGTCCGTTGCGACTGCCGTTCGCTCCTCTGTGGACTGCAGGAAGGAGGCTGGGCAGAATAGCTTTTCATATGTCAAGCCCTGTACCCTAGCGACCTTGACCCAGTAGGATAGCATACGAGTCCGTTGGGCAGGTGGATCATTAGGATCACTCTCATGGACGAAAGGCAAAGCGATATCCCAATCCTGAAGGACACTTGACTTGCCCAACCGTAGCGAGAGTGTCTTGTCAAACATGTATATCATCCAGAAAATGTAGATCTTCGACTCTTTTTCTTCAAGTGTGTCGTGAGCCATGGTATTGATACGGTGATATCCCAAACTTGTGCACAAGCCTGCTGCACAAGATATCAGGATCCAGCAGAGAGAAGGCTTACACATTTCGATTGCTTGCGCTGCTCCAAGGACCAAGGCCATAATATTTTCATAACTTGCCGGTATGAATAGGTCGAGCTGGCTTAGGGCCACCTCTGTTTGTCGCTTACATATGGCCGCATATGTTGCGTACTGGCTGATGTCCATGCCTGCTAGAGGAAATGCCTGGAATTCGTAAAATATGTTCTCCAAAATGCCATAGGTAAGCACGCGTCGAGCAGCGCTACAGGTGCCAGGGTTGTGGTACGCGTCATCGAAAATTTCCCTCAGGTTTGGCATCTTGAGGAACGGAAAGATCACGGCAAATGTCATTGTTGAATACTCTAGTAGAATCAGTAACATTCAAAATTCAAGGTAGGCTTAAACTCAACTCATAGCTGTGTCCAACGCATTGCAGACCTCCACCCATGGAGGCTGCTCAAGTCTAGTGGGATCCACTTCGGCAAGGGAGCGATTGATCAATCGGTTGCTTGGAGCCATAGTCTGGCTTGGTTGCGATACCATCTCGGAAAGAGCAGTAAGTGCCATCTTGACTTCTTCATTCTGGCCAATTGACGGTGTGCTGTCAATTACCTGAGCTAGCATCTCACGAGCATAGACGGATTGAATGCTGATTGAGCTTTCGCCCTCGAATGGCGCCGGTGTAGGGGCTTCCTGTAAGCCACTACCTGGACTTCTTCCTACTCGACTCGAACGTGACTGACTGCCTGTTTCGGGGCTGTCTTTGGCAAGATCCATATTGCCGAGTTTTGACGAAAGGTTAGCAAGAACATTCTCGATTCCTGCTAATCGATCTTCTATTCGGTCAATCTTCCTTTCACTAGGAGATGTCAGCATTAAGGGCTCTTGTCATCATCCAAATCTCGGCACCAATGTGTGAATTATGCTCGGGGTATTTGCCTGCTATCGATATGCCCCGAAACGGCGTATAGCTAGGCGTGTCTCGGCATGATAGAAACGTATTTCAAGGTGTGCATATGCCAGTGGTGGTAACAATTTAACATCTGAAATACGTACTATTGCTCAGAAATGTGGACTCTTTGGCGTTGAGCTTTCTGTTGGGGAGCAGTCGTTTTGCAAGCTGCTTCCAATAAGCAATAGCCCATTATGTATGTCATAGACGCAAGATCTCTTACCTAGTTTGCTTGCCTTGCAGTTAGAGCAAGGTACGGCACGGTCACAGCGTATCTTACGCGTGCGACAGCTATCGCACTGTTTAGGAATTGTTAGTGGCTGGATCACTCTATGCAGCCACAGGCCAAGCACTGGGGCTGTCTCGACTTACTGCGCGCTTAGACATGCCCCGATCGGGCGACTCATCCATGTCGTCGTCTTCCATAGCGTCGGTTACGGGTCGGTTTAGGCCGCAGTGTGGCAACGCGTGGAGTGCGAGAGTGGGTGTAGTAATGTCGAGAGTTCGGGCAACGGAGTCCTCGGGCGCCGACAACGGGGGGTAATCATCAACGATGTCATTACTATCGGCGGAAATCACATATTCTCAAGACATCAATCGAGTTTTCTTTAACAATCAAGTTTCTCCTTTCAATGCAGCCCCATATATTTGTGTTGCGTTCCTAAATACATCAGATGAATAACGAAGGAAAGTGTGGATGCCACGTGACTATGCCAAGACTCCGCCTGTTATTGGCGTGCATGCCCGTAAGTAATCAACAATACTGGAATAAAAACTAACCCTGTCAAGACAATACCATTGCTCACATAAGCCGCCTATACCACCACGTACGAGTTGTCCATGCATACAAGAGTACTACATTTCATATGTAGATTCCCATTTGCTTGATATAGTACTAGATCGTGTTATCTTACAATGCCAGCGAACACTTTTATATCATTAATGTTAGTTACCCTGTTTTAGTATTACGGGCAGTTTGCATCCGAGTATCCTTGTTCGCAAAGAGCGCAGTCAACCCCTAGCGCGATTCAGCTCATCTTGGGGACTACCTAGCCACTTAGAACAGCCCTACGTAACGTAAAAATTATAGGAGTAGTCTTGGCCGATCGCGATAAAAAGGCGTTAGATTTCCGCTGCTGCCTGCTCACGATGAACTACATCAACTCTTATTTCAAATATGTCGCCAGAGGGGCATCAAGCCCCGCCACTCAAATCTGACGCGCAAACAACTGATGATGCCAAAAGAGACGCAGCTTCTGACGGCAAAAGCGATGTTGCGCCGAAGAAGGCCGATGGCGGTATGGGTGGCTATGTCGTAAGTCCAAACACGGGCGACACCTGAATTGCATCTAGGATTGACCTTGTTGCAGCGCATCTTCCGGTATGCGGATCGCACCAGTTGGATTCTGAACGTCATTGCGGCCGTCGCTGCCATTGCCGCTGGAACACTACTACCACTCATGTAGGCGAGTCCGTACTGCTTGGTTCACATAAACACTAATTTTCTCTTCAGGGACCTAGTCTTCGGAAAGTGAGTCTTTGTATACAAAAACAACGCCGAGGACTTCACTGACATTCCAGATTCGTGTCCACGTTCACTGGGTTTGCCACTGGCACTATCACACCAGCTCAATATCGTTCTGAAGTGAACAAGTTCACGCTGTACTTTGTATATCTCTTCATTGCAAAATTCAGTCTCGTCTATATCCACTCGGTATGCAGAGTCCACCAGCGATTCAATATCTTGATGCTAATCTTGCCAGACTTTTATATCAATAGCCGCAATACGTACCACAAAGGCTGTGCGCATAGACTTCCTCAAACACGTCATTCGCCAAAATATCGCCTACTTTGATTCAGATGAGGCCGCCTCGGTCACAACGCAAGCCACCAGCAATGGAAACAATGTCAACAACGGTATTTCCGAGAAACTTTCGCTCACAATCCAGGGCGTATCGACCTTTGTGACAGCTTTCATTGTCGCCTTTGTCGTACA